CCTCCTAGACCTGAGTCACATCTGACAGGCCGAAAAGGTGGCAGGAGAGGACGGGAAGGCAGTGAGTCATTTACAGCAGAGATACCGAGGGCAGCCCACAGGCCTCGCCCTTTCATCCCCCTCCCCATCTAACATGTCAAAAGCCCTGCCACCCATCAGGTTCCCTTGTCACCATAGCCCTGAAGCAGAGACCCTGCAAGGCCCAGACCTTTTGGGGAACAAGAGAGTAAAGGTGGAGGAAATTAATTTGCAGAGTTAGAAATGCTTACCCCGTCCAATAACGCAGAGAGCTTTTAAATACCCAGAACATGGGGTGACTCTTACCTCCTCCTTCTGCTCAGTACTCAGCACACAGCTGAGCTCAGCCTCCAGCAGAACTCAGGGGTGAAGGGAGGAACAGGGGCCCGGGCTGCAGGAAAAAGGAAACTGAGCCATCACTCCTAATCTACACAAAGGGAAACACTGCTTTTCATAACATCCCTCTGCCTTCAGCCAAAGCTGTGTCCCTCTTGGCCTCACCTCAGTTCATTATTGCAGCTCCCATGGAGGACTGAGACCCCATATAAGGTGAGGCTAATGAGACAGAGGGAGTGGAGAAAGCAGAGTGCTGCAGCCATCAAGAGTGTGCGCTTTGGAACCCGAATACTGGGGTTCCGTCCTCATTCTGTCATTTCCTTTCTTGCCTGATCTTAGACAAGTTATGTTATACCCTGTGCTTCATGCTCCATTAGAGTGAAGAGAATGATGGTACCTACATCATCGGATGATTTTAGAGATGAAATGAGATTTTATGGATAAAGCATCTGGCTAATAACAACAGGCTAGCACATTGTATATGCCTATTACTATTAATATTCCCTACTAGTGGGTTCAGGAAGGATTGCCCTCAGAGAAAAATTGGACCCAGGTTGCTACCTTTTGAGCCTTATTCATCTGCCTATTTGGCATGCACACCTGAGTTGCTAAGTGTAGCGGGAGAGAAATACCCAACCACGCTGGCCTGTCTCATTAAAATTCACATCCGACAACTTCAAGTGGCCCCCAGTGCCTTCCAGCAACGCTGCGCTGTTTCCCAACCATGTCCCATCTCCTTCCTCACTCTCAGCTGATAACCTTGCTTCGTCTTTCACTTGCTTCGTCTTTCACTAAAACATAGAAACAGTAGGGAGAATTGCTGCATTCTCCAGGATGGCACCTTTCACATCCAAGTCTACTCGACAGTTTCGCTTGCATAGACAGACATCTCCAAATTATGGTACCCAAAGTGAACATGGCAGCTCCGTCCTTCCACTTGCTGTAGAGACAGAGCCACGAGCCTTCTCTGACTCCTGTTTTTTATCCCATGCTTCACAGTTGACCCACCCACCAGCCCCCATCACTTCTCCCTCCAAACATGTCAAGAATCTGACCACTTCCCATCACGGCTCTCACCCTGGTCCAAGCCATCCTCTGTCACCCAGGTTATAGCTGGCCTCCCTGCCTTTGCACGCTCACATTTCACAATATAGCAGGCTCAGTGATGCTTTGTGTCAAGTCGCTTCACTTTCTTCAGAACAAAGGGCCCGTGTGAATTGGTCATCTGCCCCACACCACAATGAAAACACTCCGAGAGTATTCTGTTCACTCCTCTATCCCAGGCATGTAGCAGGCGTTCAATAAATATTTGTTGAATGAGTGGTGTCCTCTAATGCCTGTGAACAAATCAGCTTAGAAAGTGGGGATCTGACACTCAGTGGGCCCTGCTCTGGGCCACCGTACATACATAAGCAAGCTTGTTTAATCCATGCTAGCCACGTAAACAGCTCACCAACCCATCCTAATGCCCCACAGCTGGGAAGGGCTGAGCCTGGATTCAGACCTGAGGTCACGTGAGTCAAGACACATTTACACTGAAATAATGAACAGCTCACATCAGAAGAGGAGGTCTTCACAGAAGTAATCATTTTTAAAAACAATAACTGACCCTGTTGATGTGTTTCCTACCCCCACAGGTTCATGACTACCTCCGTAGCAAGCTGTGCTCCCTCTACGAAAACGACTGCATTTTTGATAAATTTGAATGTGTGTGGAATGGGTCAGACAGGTAAGAAAGGCTCTGTGGCTGGGGAACCTTCCAATGGTGGGCCTTCTCCTGGCGGAGGCCCTGGGCTGTTTGTCCTAAGCAGGGTGCAGCCGAAGGGAGGTCAGAATCAAAACCCCAGGCCTGGCAGGGGTGCGTGTGCGAGTCACTGGATGACCCTGAGGTCAGGCCTGGAAAGGAGGGAGGGCTGTAGCAAGAGCCTTGAACCCTCTCTCAGGACTGGCAGAGGTGACCATTTAATATCAGTGAGAAAAGTCCTGTCTTGTCCACACAGGACACCCCCAGCGCTAGGCCAACATGCCTCACATGAAGCTCCCTAAGAATCCACCAGCAAATTCCAGCATGAATGGTTCAGATTGCTGCCAAGTGCACTTTCTAGCTCAAAAATGATCCCTTGAAGCCACTCGCATAGACCTGGCCAAAGGCCCTGGTGGTTCATTAGCTGAATTCTTGTCGGCCTCATTTGTCACGTTCCCTCAGTGTGATTTATTACTGTTTTAAGGCCTTTGATTTCAACAATACTTCATATTACCTCCCAATAGTTCATTTTTCGCCTGACAAATACAGATGATTCTGGCTTCCAGGAGAACTGGCACAGGCTACCAGGGGCCGTTCCCTGATGGAGGCGGCACCGTGAGCCATAGTGCCTGGGAGCACAGAAACTACTGCAGCAAAGCACTCAAAATGCACACTTTTCGTGAGCTTGAGCCCTCCACTTAGCAGGACTGGAAGGAGCCACCACAAGGCAGAGGACCCAGGTCACACGATCCAGTTAGTACAGAGCAGAGGGGGCAAAGCAGCTGTGGTGTATGAACAAAAGCTCGCAAGGGGACAGAAGCTAGCCCCAGCCCTATTATCTTATTTTTATGTATATACTTTATTAACTTGTTCGTTGTTTATTATAATTAATACATATTCTTTACTATCACTTATATCTTTGTTGTTGTTACTGCTCCAACTTGCCCTCTATCTCAGCCTAAAACTACACTCATTGAACACATACTATGGAGCAGACACCTTTATACACATCATGTACGTTATCCTGACCACAATCCAACTAGCTTTCTGTCATCCCCATTTTACGGCGGATGAAACTGAAGCCCATTCAGCAAGAGACAGTAACGTGCCCAAGCTCAGACACTAGTGAGTCGTACAGACGAGAGCCAGGAGTGTTCTTTTCATACCATCACAGTGGGAAATGTTATTCTTGGTTCAGATAGGGTTGAGGCTTTTTTTTTTCCCCAAAAAAGACTTTCTGTTCTGTTTAAAAAGAAGCCGGGCCGCGATGAGGGAAGCAGACCCCTGGCCTGGGAAGCGGTGAGTCCGAGCGGCCAAGAGCTTATGCCCTGGAGTCAGGCCGATGCGGGTCGGAGGCCAGACCTGGCTACTTGCTAGCAGTGTGACACTGCACAAACTACTCACTTCTCCTCATATGTAAATCTCTTACATGGGGTAATGCAGACTGAAATGAGATGGCAGCAGTCAAAAGCTCCGCGCCCTGCCTGACAAGGAAACAACAGCTCACTCTGCTACACAACACGTTTTACAGCCTCTGCTTCCTGGGCTGGAGCACCAGAACCTAAGCCCTGATTAATGTGCCTGGCACAGCTGACCAAGGACCCCCCCAAACTTCTCCCCCTGCCAGTTCCCTTCACCTCTCTACACATCCAGGTCACCGAAAACAGAGGAGTCGCTGTGCTCAGCCATCCTCACCTGCCCACTCAGTTTCAGCAGCCTGTCGGAGAGCAGGCCACTGTGGACTGTTTCACAGGGAGCGCTGTCTCCCCCTCAGCCTGTCACCATTAAAGATTCAGTCTCTTGCTTCCGGAAGGCTTTTTGGCATTGACTGCTCTCCTGATCAATTGTAGATATGCCTTTAGGATAGATAACTCTTGTAAAATGCAGAAACCACCTGTCAATCCACGACAACATCTTATTTTTCCCTTCCCAAACCCTTTTAAAACTTGAATTCGTTTACTTTCTTGTCAAGTGAGACAACGGTGACATCCATTTTTTAGATAAGTTTTCTGAAAAGGACGAATTTAGAGCTAGTACTTAGCAGGGGGAGGGGGTGGCGGGGGACATGCCTGGCCAACCAGCTTTCCTGTTGGCATCTCTCTCACCCTGCTGGCGAAAGCCTTGGAGGTCAGGCTGCAGCGGTGCCCCTTAGATGTGCACAAGGATTCGTCGTTTTCAACGTGGGCCTACTTTCCTAACCCCACCTGAGCCTCGCAGTGCTGATGGGAGGTAGGTAGGGCTGGATCATTAAAACCACTCATTTACTAAGCCAAAGAACTCAGAGGAATTTATCGAGCAGAAGTAATGAACAAGGCGGGTTATCAGAAGCCCAACCCAAGAGCTGGTTGCTCTTAATGATTCCCAAAGGAAGTCGATAGTCACATGATAGAGCCTGTTCAGGGTTGTGTTTAACAAAACGCCTGGTGCCCTAAGCTGGCCACCGCGTGGTGTCGTTTGCTCTCTCGAAAGACACACGAGGGCTGTGTTACTGCCTCTCTCCATAGCACTCAGTGACTCCCTACTTCCTCTCTGCCTTGCAGTGTCATCATGACCGGCTCCTACAACAACTTCTTCAGGATGTTTGACCGAAACACCAAGCGCGATGTTACCCTGGAGGCCTCGAGGGAAAACAGCAAACCCCGGGCTATCCTAAAACCACGGAAAGTGTGCGTGGGGGGCAAGCGGAGAAAAGACGAGATCAGCGTGGACAGCCTGGACTTTAGCAAAAAGATCTTGCATACAGCTTGGCATCCTTCAGAAAATATCATAGCGGTGGCGGCTACAAATAACCTATATATATTCCAGGACAAGGTTAACTAGGAGGACAACTTATTATTACTTAAGAAGCTCACATATTGAATACTAGTCAAACACCTTTTTAAATGTTTCTTTGGGTCTTCATTTGATGCATTGACTTTAATTTCCCTATGCAGAAAACAATTGGGGTGGCATTAAAAGGAGTCCAACTTTCCCAAATCCCCAGTTCTAAGAAACTTTTGTTCAACCCAATAGGCCCCGGGACAATTCTGTTTAGCATTGAGAGCTGCCAGCTAACAGTAATTCTTCCATAGTTGACCTGAATTTCTGATGCTTTTATTGCCCAGTTTTCTCTGGTGGGTCCAGTGTTTTGTTTCTAGGTGTCTGCTGAGATAAAATGAGGTTGTCTTGTAGTATTTAAAGCAAAAAGATAAGTTCTTTTTTTTTTTTAATTAAGCAATTCCATTTGATTGAAAAATTCAACAACAAAAAAATAAACACCGTCTACTCTTAGAGAAGTTCTCCTTGTTTTGTGAAAAATCAGAACTCCTCAGCATCTCCTGCCCCTACAGCACGTTTTTTTTCCCCCCATTTTCTTTTTAACGATTTCATTCGAGTAAGAGATTTATGTCACAAGGCTGTGAAGAGGATGCAGAATGAGAAAGGAAGGGCCACATCAGCATTGCTATACTTTTTGTTTTGTAAGCGCCATAGAAACAGCCTGAGAATTTGGCTAGGGAACACCATGAATGCTTTAGGGGACACAGAACACTTTCTACACAGTGCTTCTCAGAGTTAGCTGGGCAAAGCCACGTGGGGCCAGATTCCATCTGCTGCTTTGTTACTCTTTTTGGAATTTTAAATGGCTCCATATAATCCTCTACTTACACGTTCACTGGCTTTTTCTCTTCAACCTTTTCCAGCTTATTTATTCTATTGACTTCTAAAGGCCGAGTCTTGGTTGTTTATTATCAATGGGCACTCTAAATGAACCAATAAGCTGGAGGCAGTGGCACCACCCGTGACTCCCTGAGAAAGGCTGTGTCCTGAGCAGCCCCCTCCCCGATTCCTGATTTGGTAACCAAAAGTAACAATCCATCAGTCTCCACAATAGCTAGAACAAAAATGGCCAATAAAAATGCTGATTTGTAAAGCCTAGTCAGGTCCTTCTAACCCCACCACCACCACTCCCGCAAGCTCACCATCTGGAAAAATAGGCCAGAGAGCTCTCTTCCTGCAAAAGTGGAATATGGGGGCATCAAGAAGCTTTGACATTGGAGTGAAGTCTGCTTGAAACTGTGGAGGCTGGTTCATCCTTCCCCCAAGTTGAGGATGCAGATTTAAAACTTGCGGAAGGTTCTATGTGGCATGCTGTGAGGGAGACTCGATGAATTCAAAAGGCTTATAAATTTGAAGAGGAGGCTTAGGGAGGATGTTGGAGGCACCCAGAAAGCTAGGTCTGGGCTCGATGTCACTGTACCTGTCATGGTCTCATTTCCCATAACTTCCATTTAATGGGTAGGAAATAACTTGAGATGAGCCATTTTCTTTTAAAGAGAAATTTTCTTTGCTTGTATATTTATGAGAAGTCCCACCTTTCAAGTGTAATTTGTTTTAACGGAGAAAAGAATAGTGAAAGAACCATATTTCAATGCTAAGCTACTATCAATTTAACAACAGCTTTTTGGCAAGGAAATCACTATCTACTTAAGTGAATACAATTTGGTATAATGCAGCCCAATTTCAGAAACATTAAAATATGAAAAAGTGCATCTTAAAATGGAGTGAGTATGCCGTTGAAGACATGGCTTTCCTCTCCGTGTTTCTCATCTTCCCTGTAATGAAAGCCTCTATTTGGGCATGGCATCTAAGTAGCTCCCAGGAGGAAACTCTGAGCAGAATTCCTGGCCTAACTGGGGCAACATCCTTGGAGGAGACCTCAGAGTGTCAGAAACTTCCCCAACTCATAGAGAATTGTGATATCAGGATACACAGAAAGACCAGTGAGTCACTGTCCAGAATTTACTGTCAACTTCCTCAGTGACCTTTGCTCTGCTTCTCTGAGACTCAGCTCAGGTGAGGATTGAGACAGATCATGGTTTTTCAGACTTGAGCATCAACCTACCTCTGTACTATTACTCATTTAACATTTATTGAATCACCTTTTTTGAAATCAAGACAGCCTCCTTCAAAGAAATAATATTCATGAAATGTCAGTTTCAATGGGCCAGTTACTTTTTAACATTAAAATAACCACATAATATAGAACCACTAAATAACTACATTAATATAACAAACATGTGCCCATGCGCCACCTACCGTCATTTTGTGAACACCAGCAGCATGCTTATCAAACTTTGGGACCCTGCACAGCTGATATAGAACATCTAAGTCTTTGGAGGCATCAGAGAGTCTCAATGGACAATGGTTCTTCACATACTGGAGTCAAGAGTGCTCCCCAGAATGCATGCGTGAACAATTTTGGTCACAGATGTATGGGCTCGCAGCCTCCCTGCAGTCTGTGGACACCAAAAAAGAGCCCTACACTAGTCCACCACCCTCAGCACATACATGTACTGATCCACAGTGGGAGGAATTTTCCCCAAGACCTTGAAGTGCCATCCTCTCCTCTACCCCATACAAAGAATGCAGAGGCACAAACATCCAGACTGCTAGACAGGAAACATGAGGGGAAGGCCTAGAGATCAGGCCTCAGGCAGCAATCTGCTGCAGCAGTAACCCCACCACGCTGCAGCAATAACCCCCACCACGCTTCACTGATTCCCTGCTCTGTGCCAGGTGCTGCCCTTGGCACTATACAGTTGCCATTGCCTTCTACCCAGTACTGGTGATTTTCTTATCCGGTAGCACCTAAAAGTCAGTCCCTTTTCCAGCTGACACTAAAAGCTCCTTGAAAGCCAACTTCCCAGCTTTTCAACAGTGTGTTGGGTTCTAAGAACCTACACTAGTTTATCCTACAAGGCCTGCTGCTTGGTATGAGCCGTCAGGTTACACTGGAGGACGTCACTTGACTGAGGGGAAACGGGAACCACAGCTTCCTAAACTATTATTAAAATCATCCTAAATGCAACAGTAAGTCCCTGTCATTCAAAACCAAGCTATTCATAAGCTGAACTTTGGCCGACATTCATGCTTTCTTGTCCAGAGGAGGAAGGTGAGTTGGGGAAAAAAAACAACAACAAGGAAACACAAGCCAGCATGTAGTGGGATATACAATGAATGGGCAGTAGGAACCCATTTACTTCTTAACCCCTTCATGTCTGGTTCCTGCCTTTTCTACTGGGAAAAAAAATTATATATATATATATATATATATATATATCAGTCTGTGTGAGGCAAAACAATTATCAGGTGGAACAAAGATGAAGCTAAAATTCTTTTAGCTCAGTGACCCGGCTCCATTGCTTCCCTCTGAACACTCCAGGGCCCATTATAATTAAAATGAGACTCTCAAATACTCAATCGCTGACAGCATAGGAGAGCATCACTTCCCTTTCTTCAAACCTGCAGAGCAACTGCCTAAACTTCCCTCTTATCCCCCTCACCTGCCTTTCTTTCTTTTTCCAATCCCTCTGCTGACAGCCTACAGGGTTCAAGAAAGTCGTACTAGGCCTAATAATAAGGCTTTGGGGATGACACTATAGTCCACGGGTGTGAATGAGAAAGCCCTTCCTAATTTGCCCTCTTCCATTATGGACACATGTAGATGAGGCTGGTGTGTTTTAAATAATACCCCCAGGGCCGGCCAAGTGGCGCACTGGTTAAGAGCTGGCTTGGGATGCCAGAGGGCCCGAGTTCGGACCCCACATATG